CGGGTACGGGTACGGGTATGGTGTCATACCCGTACCCGTACCCGTACCCGGTTTAATTTATCGGGTTTTACCCGTACCCGTCCCCGTATCCGGTCAAACCGGGTATTCCCCGTCAAAGTCGGGACGGGTTCGGGTATTACCCACGGGTACAGGTTTATTTGCCATCCCTAGTTACAAAGGTCTCTACGCCCCCCTTAAAGGGCTGTCTAAGCATGTGCATATGAAGGTTCTAACAATCTCCATCCTAAAATAAAGAAGATGGTAACAATTCCCCACAAATGATACCAATGTTAGGATGGTGGAATATAGACAAACCAGAAGATGAGAACTCCAAAGATAGGGCACCCGTGAATTGAGGATGACAATGGTGGCCACCCATGAACACTTTAATTCCCAAGTCACTAAGTATGCAAATAAAGTAATAGTATGATAAAAATTAAGTGTAAAAAAACTATAAATGATGTCATTTATATAAGGATAAGGTGTGATGTAAAACATGAGAAATTTTTAGACAGGTTGGAGTGTGTTAAGATATTCCATACGTAAAGCATGTTCAAGTGTGCAGAACATGATTTGGTCGAAACTCATGTTGAGTAAGTGTTGGGCCAAATAATATCTTAGATAGAAGCTGCTTGCAGTTTTTGATGAGTAAGTGAATTAGGTCGGTGGTACTAAAAAAATTAAATGTCAATTGTTAAATGGTATTTCAATTGTAGGTCAAGACTTTGAAGTATTTCTCCATAACAATTTGTACTTCTTGTTTCATAATAAATGTTGTGTATAAAGAAATAAAATAAGTTTTAAAATTAGTATCATTTTAACTAATTAACATAATATTAATTTTTTATTTACACCTTAATAATATCTTTTAGAAAGTAAATGTGTTGCATTACTTTAATTAAAAAATATTAACAATAAAGTTAATTTTGTAAATTATTATTATTCTTTTATCTGTCTAAACAAATCAAAGATGACATTTATATAGGACCAAGAAAATAATATTTTTTCTTGCGATAAATAGTTACAAGATTAACGACTATTAAAGATCCTCTCTCAGAACTCAAATATAAGAAAAAAGATGAACTTAAAGTTAAATATAAACAAAACTTAATTAATTTTATCATATTTAGTATTATTATCTTCAAAAATGTCTTTCATTTAATTAAATTTTATTTTTAATGATTTTTTTTTATATTCTTAACATTAAATTCCAATAAAAAAAAATAGTAGTACAGAAAAAATATTTCCATTTGAAATTGATAAAATTAACAACATATTAGTTAATTTTGCTTCTAAATTCTAATTAAACTGGGATAAAAAACCAGAAGTTGTTAATGGTGAAAATATAACTTTATAACTTAACTTGCATATGTAGGAATAGGATTAGGAACTAACCCTGTGAGAAGAAATTATATGCTCTTAAATGAGTCGTGTGAGTCGCCACAAGAAGACTGGAACCAGAGACTGGATAACGTTTTCTCTATACATATTCTTCAACACACTCAGTTGTGTCCCCCTTCGCTTCCACTGTGCTCATATGCTTTGATTTTGCGCTTCTTTCCATTTCCAATCCAATGGCTTCTTCTTTTCCTCTTTACCAACCAACCCACACCATATTCTCCAACACCCAGGTTCCAATTTCTTTCCTTTATTCCATTATTTTTTGTTTCTCTTCAATCTGAACCTCTTCCAACCCTGTTTTCTTTCTCCACAGTTCAAAGGTTCGCGCCGTGGCTTCTTGTGGCGACCCACTTACCCGTTTGGCTCTCACGCCGAAAACAAAGCTCGACCCATCAAAGCTTCGGTTGATGCACCCCCGTTTCCCCTGTTTCAGCCTCCCCAAGTTGAAGAGTCATCGTCTGAGGTAAATCACATTTTTTGTTTTTTTTCCTTTTTGCCCCTCGTTTGTTTGCTAGTTGGTTTGGTTGGCACTTTGGCAGTGACTAACTGACAAGGAACAGTTAGAGTGAGTGCTGTTTCCATGATTTGGTGCGCATTCATGTTCAGAACACTTCTACAGTGTCTTTATACATGTAACAAAATGGCTTGTAAATATAGTTGTAATGCACTTGACAAGTTCATCTATATAGTTCATGACTATTATTTACTAAGAAATTGATATAGATAATATGTGCATGTGGAGATTAAGAAAAAGTAGAAAAGTTAATGTGGGAACAAAATAGGGCTAAGAGTGAGGCTACACATAGCTAGGAACAGCTGGAGTGAGTGCTGTTTCCATAATTTAATGTGCTTCCATGTCTAAAACACTTGATACAGTGCCTTTTCCATGATTAATATGTCGTGTTCGTATCTATACATGTTACAAAATGGCTTGTAAATATAGTAGTTACGCACATGTGAGACCCCCCCTCTCCCGCCCTGCCTCACCTTGCCCACAAGCAATCCAATGCTTGTGTGGTATTTTTTCCCGTTACATTTGGGTGATTTATTTGTCGATCATCCACACTGCAAAATCAAAAAAGTAGTAATGCACATGCCAAATCCGTCTGTATTCCTGACTATTATATACTAAGAAATTTATATAGATATAAGTGCAAATTGAGAATAAGAAAATGTAGAAAAATTAATGTGGGAACAAAATAGGGCTTAGAGTGAGACTACACATAGCTATCCTTTACACATGCTTGCTAAAAGCAGGCGATGTTTACCTGAATAGGAGATGTATGGAAATGGACTATAGACTTTGATAACATATTAGTTTCTATCTTAAAACTGATTGACATTAAGTGACATTGTCCAATAGATATACAAACTGCATCCCATTTATTGAGACATACAATACGGGACTTTTATGTTTAGAGTTCACAACACTTAATATGTTACAGTGCGTGTTGTTTCTATAATTCGATGTGCTTTTATGTTTATAATACTTAATATGGTAGAGTTTGTGTTGTTTCTAATTTGATCTACTTTTATGCTCAATTGCTCATATTACTTGTATTGAGATTCATTATCTTCTTTCTGCACAACCAGTCTTTGGATGATGAATTCTTCAAGGGGCTTCAGCTTTGATGAGATGTTTGTTGTGATTTTTTTCTTTTTGTCAATGTAATTGTTCCTCTAGTTGGAGCCGGCTGATCCTGATTTCTACAAGATTGGTTATGTCCGAAGCATGCGAGCTTATGGAGTTCAGTTTAAAGAAGGTCCAGATGGTTTTGGTGTGTATGCTTCTAAAGATGTAGAGCCTCTTCGTCGAGCAAGGGTGAGTAGCTGCATTTAATATTGCTACTACTGATGGTACTCCATACTCCACTTATGTTGCACCAGATATTGCCTTTCTGATTGCTGGTGGTGGCACATGTGAAAAAGATTGCACTTAAAGTTAAATTCTAAATTATTTTATGTAGTTAGATATTTGTATAATATCCTTTATCATTATATTCTTAGTAGTTGTCCATGGATGATTTCCCTAATGATGTACTCGAGCAGGTTATAATGGAAATTCCTCTTGAACTGATGTTAACCATAAGCAAGAAGCTCCCATGGATGTTTTTCCCTGATATAATCCCTTTGGATCATCCAATATTTGATATTATCAACTCGACAAATCCAGAGGTAATTGCATTTCAACTCTGAGTTCATGATAAGATATGTTATATAATCAATTTGCTTGGTTGTTTTCACTTTTCATGATAAATATATTTATTACCAATGTGTTACCCTGTGTTTTGACCATTGTACTTGCTACACAAAAGTAAAAAAAAAAATATTATGGTCATTTGGTTAATGTGATTGAGAAAATCTGTGACAGACAGATTGGGACCTAAGGTTGGCATGCCTTCTCTTGTATGCATTTGACTGTGAAGGCAACTTTTGGCAATTGTATGGTGACTTCTTACCAAGTGCAGATGAGTGCACCAGCTTACTTCTAGCTTCAGAGGTGTGTATTAAATAAACTGGTTATGTATCATTTAGCCATGGTTTGATAGGGTATTCCTGTTTTGAAATTATTACTGACCAATTCTTGATATCAAAGGCAGATAATGTACATGGTACTAGATGTTTCAATTCCCACTTAATGGGATTTTTCAAATTTTTCCTTGAAAACATTTTGTGTTGAAGTTGGATGATGTTATAAGACTAGGAAAAGTAATAATTCTCAACATTTTGTGTTGAAGTTTTATGACATGTGAGTTGCCTATTTTGTTTTTGGTGTTCTGCGTACCGTAGAGTTAACAGACCCTTTACTTGGTTGTTATCTTAAGATATTTGATTAGCCTATAATTATAGGTTGTCTAACAACTAATTTTACTTTACAGATTGCACTTACCTATATTTAATAGCTTTCCTATTCCAATATTTGTAAGTTGTAACACAAGTTGTTATAAGTTTTTGTATTTTGGTTTTTTGATGGAAACCTCAAAGGTGACTCATAATTTGGTTGAGCCACAAGATACATATCAACTCTCTTGAGTTGTTTGGATTAATCCTATGCAATTTTAAGATTTTTTTGTATAGACTCGCATGTATTTGAAATTTTGAATTGCTATTATTTGGAACTTACAATACTGTTTTAGTAACAGTTTTGTGACATCTCATATATTGATCTGTACCTCCAGGAGGAACTTTTGGAGCTGCAGGATCCCAATCTTGCTTCTACTATTAGAAAACAGCAATTACGAGCCTTAGAATTCTGGGAGAAAAACTGGGTAATGAGCAAATTCTTTCTCAAATTTATTTGTCTTCCATCATGCATAAAACTTGTGATGTATTCTTAACAAATTGTGTTAATCTTGTTTAGCACTGTGATGCACCCCTTAAAATAAAGCGTCTTGCTCGTGATCCACAAAGATTCACTTGGGCAGTAAGTATTGCACAGTCACGGTGTATTAACCTGAAAACGAGAATTGGTGCTCTAAATCAAGAAGCAAATATGTTGATTCCTTATGCAGGTGAGCTCATTTCACCTTGGTATGACTAAATATGATACATTTTATGTACTCATAATATAATCAAACAAATCTTTTATCTTTTAATTTCACTTTAGTTTATTTTCTTATGGAATTTGTTTATTATGATGTCCTTTACCTGTTTCGGGAGCAAATTTAGGAATTTTTAAAAATAATTAAAACTAAGAAAAAAATTAAGGAACAAAGCCAAATGTCATTATTATAAATTTATAATAGGAGTATGTACTATTACAGGAGGACTGAAAAGATTTCTCTTTTGAGATGTTCATTAATATTAAAAGTTGATGAACTAGTAGCATAAAATTATGCATGACATGGGTTTTTTTCTCTGCATAGCAGAACGAAGCATCAAACTCTTTGAGGAGTAGGAAAAGTGTGGAAAATGTTTACTTACTTTCTCTTGGAGGAATTTCTTTCTTTTTCTTTTTTAATAATGTTAACTGTAGATATCAATATAAATGAAGTTTATAGAGTCATGGGAATTAATATTATGGATTGTGAGATAGCTATATTAACCTTTTCATTTTCTCATTCACTTTCTTTTGTATTAAATTTGATTTGATTTACATTCTCAAAAGATAACTCTTTTTATCCATTCATTGTCATTGTTTAGGTTGTTTATTTTATTGTTAGAAATTAGAATAATTTTCTCATTTTAATGCAACAAATTAGAATACAAGTAAACAAACATTACTAGACAATCCTTGTAATTGTCTGTTTCTCTTTATGACTGTTGTAATCAGGAAAAAAAATGAAAAACAATATATAGAGAGAGTGGGAAAAAAGTAGGCAAAAATGTGAAAATATTGATTTGTATATATTACAGGTGGTGGCTGTGCTTATTTTCCTAATTAAAATGTTGCTTAACTTAGTTCATTGGCTAACTTAGTCATACTTTTCAGATATGTTGAACCATTCTTTTGAGCCAAATTGTTTTTTCCATTGGCGTTTTAAGGACAGGATGCTTGAGGTTCTTACAAATGCTGGACAGCGCATTAGAAAGGGAGATGAGGTAAACCGTTTGATTTTTTCTGTGGAAAATTATGTTCAATTAATTACCCAAGGAAATAGTTGTGGTAGAAATAACAAATTGTATTATAATCTCTTGGGAAATAACTATAATTATTACTGCATAGAATTTATCTTAAATATTTATTATATGGTTTAATACATTTGTTGGTCTTGAAATTTTTGAGGTTTTTTTATAGGTCCCTAAACTTTACAAAATCCAAATCTTTTTGAATTTTTGTAATCAAGTCCGAGGGGTAAATGGTTTGTTTACAAACCATTAACTTACATGGAAGGACTTAATCACAAAAATTGGAAAATATTAGGGACCCAGTTAAAAAAACTCACAAGTTATTAAATATGAAATTTGTGTGTCAAAATATTTTTTCTTTTTATTTTTTATTTTGAAATGAAGTGAAAAATATTTTCTAAAATAATTACATGTAGAAAAAAAGTTATAATCCTTTTTAAAAAAGTAGAACTATCAAAATTGGTCTAACCCAATGGCTTGGTGGGTTAGGTTAGGCTGAACTCTTTATTTTGAGACTCTAAAAAAAGCATGGTCAATTCGGCTTGCCTCAATAGGTCAAACAGGCCAAGTCAGGACATGAAAAAACTTACCTGAAAGTTGGAGCTATTTGGCCTTATATTTTATTTTTATTTCTTTCTTATATAAAAATAGATAAATTTATCCAAAAAAAAAAAGAGAGATTGATTTGGGCCGACCTGTAAGTTAAACAACAAAAAAATTCATGGTCTACATGAAAACCAGTTAAACATTTTAAATTTTTTAAAATAAGTTCCTAAACTATAATTTGGTCCATGGGGTTAGAGGGAATAAAGAATATTCTGTCAAAGTTAACGGTTTGTAAATGAACCGTTAATTCAATAACTGAATTACAAAATTGGAAAAGATTCAACACTCGATTACAAATTTTTATATTTAAGGGATCTATTTTGTACCTTCCTGGGGTACCTCAGTAGTTTTCTCCTTCTTCAACTTCTCTCCTAACTCCTGTGAATAAGTACTCCGTCTTCAACTCCTCATCAGATGGGATGTACCTACAAAACGCTGAAGTAAGGTCTCAGCTCGGGACAATAAATGCTTGTAATAAATGTGAATCAACAGTACCTTTTTATCTCATCTTAAGTCACTTTTTATACTAACAGTAATTGGCCTGAATTCTTGGGCCTCATCTTTTTTTCAATTGGGTAATATGTTACCGATGACAATTTGTAATGTAACATTTTGTTAACCTGCCATATGTCTGTGATGAAGATTGAGTGTCAACCTCAGCCACGAGTTCAAGCTTCTGATGTCACATTTTTTATTTGCGGCAATCGAATCTCATCCTTATCCAATTAATAGATTCATGTTTCCGGTATTCTGAAACCTATCTGACAGTCCAAAATCTACTGGTATATATTTAAAAAAAATCAAGGACCTACTGATGTGTTAAACATTATTGTATTTAAGTCCCAAGTCTCCTAGATTTATTTATAATACATTATTGTATCATTTGTTAATGGTATCAAAGCCATTTAGATCCACTTTAAATGGGCCACCCACCATTGATGCATGCCTCATAGGCATGAGGGGGTGTATTGAAAAAAAACCCAAGTCCCGCCTATCCTAGATCATTAAAAAGGGCCACCCACCATTTATCCACGTACCAAGCCCAATAGTGCTGAACGTGAGGGGGTGTATTGGGAAAAACCCAAGTCCCACATCGACTAGAGATTAGGCAATTGAATAGTATATAAGTGGAAAGCAACCCTCACCTTACAAGCCGGTTTTGTAGGGTTGAGTTAGGCTTAATCCACTATTCTAACATGGTATCAGAGCCATTTAGATCCACTTTAAAAAGTCTCCTAGATTTATTTATAATACATTATTGTATCATTTGTTAATGGTATCAAAGCCATTTAGATCCACTTTAAATGGGCCACCCACCATTGATGCATGCCTCATAGGCATGAGGGGGTGTATTGAAAAAAAACCCAAGTCCCGCCTATCCTAGATCATTAAAAAGGGCCACCCACCATTTATCCACGTACCAAGCCCAATAGTGCTGAACGTGAGGGGGTGTATTGGGAAAAACCCAAGTCCCACATCGACTAGAGATTAGGCAATTGAATAGTATATAAGTGGAAAGCAACCCTCACCTTACAAGCCGGTTTTGTAGGGTTGAGTTAGGCTTCAATCCACTATTCTAACAGTAAGTAATAAGTTAATAACATTTTTTTAAATTTTATTTGATCATAATCTTCAAATGCTGCACTTCTATAAATGTTACTTTGTGAAGATATTTTTTCTGATAACATCGATTTTCTAGAACTAGAGAAAGTAAATTGTCTATAGAAGGCAGGATAATTATTTACAGATCCGGAGCACATCAAATGAATGTAAAGTTGTCGCTCCCAATGTAGGCTAGTGTACAAAGGAACCTCTCATACTGACCATGGCTTTACGTAATGGCTTCTCCTATTTAGGAGTTTCACCTCCTCAATGTTGTGGTGATTGTCTATGCAAATGCATGGTAGTTGGGGATGTCTCTACAGCATTTGCTTCTTATTACTCTAACTATCCAAGGCATTTACATGGAACCTTCTAGAGGTTCCTTGAGAACCAAGGCATGTGTGTTGTGGTTTAGAATGTTATTGAACTCTAGAACCTTCCATAGTGTTCTAGTATGTTCTCCAAGGTGCAGTTTGATAACAATTAACTTTGAAGTTAGAAAAAAGGAAAGAACAGAACAAGAAGAATAGGATGACTGAATCCTCCTCAAGTTACAAAACACACAAACAGACACAAAAATAACAGAATAAAGAAACACAAGGAAATGATCATTAGCTTAGGAAGGATCTAAAGAAAAGACATTAGCTCAAGAAGGCTCTACAATCCCTTTGCATATTTGTTGAAGAATCCCCAACAACAACCCATAAGCCAAAATACTCATAAAAGCTAAAAGATTAAGTCATCTAAAGAAGATAGCCAGGTAAAAATTTCTGACTGAAAATCCTCCTGTTATGCTATAGATATATGCATCTAAATCCAGAAAAGAGAGCAAATTGTGTTGGAATGTTGTTTTGCAGTCACCCTTGACCTGCCTTATTTGCAGCTTCTTTGGGCTTCCTTAATTGCAGCCTTAGGAGGGTGCATTTAGTTCTACATTGATTCGAGATATGACTTAAATAGAGCTTTAAAAGCTTGGATATTCCTTATCTTACAAATCAGTTTTGTGGGGTTATTTTCTAAGCCAAATTTCTATGATCTTTGTACTGCCAAAACCTCTAAATTGAATGAGGAGAAAAAAAAAATTGAAGTTGAGAAGGCAAATCCATGTTCCCCACAGAATCTTAAACATATTACGTCACAAATTCATATTGATAGCTAGCATATAATCATGTCTTTATATGTTGTACTTATCTTTAATATTATTGTTGAAACATAGGATTGTAATTGTTTATAAGCTTGAAAAATACTAATTAGTTAATTAATTTATTATATTGGTTAACATTCTTTTAGAGCATAAATTCTATTATGTTGGTGAAAGTGTGAAACTAAAATATTTGCTTTAATGTTTATTTTATCATTTGTATGCGAGACATTGACAACCTGATTATGCTGTCAAAAATTGTAACAGATGACAGTTGATTACATGAGTTCGCAGAAGAATGACGCATTCATGCAAAGATTTGGATTTTCGTCACCTGTGGTATTTTTCTTCTATTGAAATATTGATGAATGGAATATTCTATGTCCTTTTGTTCTTTATCATGAATATTTGTCAGCTGAGACACATGAAAATATGCTTTGGCTGTGGAAATGACTTTCTGCATGTTTAAAAATTTTATGGCCCCAAAAATTCAGTTTGTAGCTTTTTCCCTTTCATTTATTTGGCAATGAGTCATTCATTTTGTGTCCTTTTATGTTAGGTTTATTGTTTTAGTAGAGGCTGTTTTTATAGAGATACAAAAACACATCTCGTGTAAGTTAGTTACTATCTGCATGTGTGATGATGTATCTCCATGTGAGTAGTTAGATGCCTTTGCATATTTGCTGAAGAAACCGCCCCGGGACAACCCATCTGCCAATATACTCATAAAAAGCTAGAAAAAACATGACGATAGCCCGGAAAAAATCTCTGGCAAAATTCTATTAGTGTAATTTTAAATTTTTATTAGTGCAGAAAGTAGTGATTTTTGGTTTCTTTGACTTTTGGACCATCTTGCCCAGCCAGTTTACTTGGAACCAGGCGCAGTATTATGAAAACTGGATGAGCAGGAAGCAAATAAACAGTTAGACTGCATGTATTATTTGGTATATTTATTTGCCAGATATGTCCACTACCCAGAACAAATTTGGCACCGTCAAAAGATGGTAGGCACCTTGTCATCAGGCCATTGTACTTGCTTGATTCTACACTAAAATATTTTTCCATAAATTGAAGTTTGAGAATTCTATGTTTTAAAGCCGTCTTAATTGTGGTTATCCTATTCCTAGCCCACCCCTTAATTGGAACCTAATATAATTGGTTGCTAGTGTTTTTGATACCTAAGGAGTTAACCAGAAAGGCTAAGTGAAGCATCATAGTGCATAGCCATCATGTTGTCAACTTTTACGTGATTGAGATCCTACGTCACTAGAAATATGAACTAAGTAGTGCTAATAAGGCTCAGACAGTCCTCACTTTACATGTTCCTTTTGTGGGGTTGAGACCCTAAATCCAAATTCTAAGACTAAATTTTTTCAAAATCATACTAAAGGCCTGAGTTTTCATGTTGATGTTGAAAATGCAAAAGTTTTTAAAAACCCATGAACATGAGTTTTCGGTTAGGCATTAATATCCTTTCCAGAAACACATTATGGACTCCAGGAATTATTTCTCCTTGCTTTGACCCATTTAGCTATTCTTCTTTCCCGACTGTCTTGATTACCTGCCCATTTTACATAGTTCTCATAGTTGAAGCAGTGGCTTTTACTTCCATCCAGTCCAGGTGATCAGGCTTAATTTTTTTCATTGTTTTAGTGATCTTAAGAGAGAGTTCTGAAAAATGGGATGTGTGGCGGTGTGCAAATAATAGTCGTTAGGCTCCCAACTATTGGATGTATGTGTGGTGTGTGAGGGGAGGGGGTGTTCCTGTTTTGGTAAGTACAGCTGTACAGGGTTTGTACACACGAGTCTAGCCCATGGCCATATACCAATTATAACTCAATCAGACGAGCCCATATACTACTATATTCTATTTCTAACAACTGGCACAAGCTGGAGCACAGATGTTATAACTTGTTATAGACATGTTTAACTTTATTACAAGGGAATGACTTCATAGATATATTAGCTAGTCACACTGCTTTATCTGCAGCACAGGTATAAATGAGTCCTTGATAGAACTCTTAATGAATTAAGTGACAAACAAGCTTAATATGTTTTGCACTCTCATGGAACAATGGTTTGATGCAATGTGGGGCACCTAGATTCTCACAAATTCTCAGGCAGTAGGTAGTCTTGAAGTCAGCCTCATTGGATAATTGTTTGTCAATTTCCACAACACCTGTTCACAAACAGTTTGAATCATTGCTCAGTACTGACTTTGCATTCAATTCAGACGCTGCATTTGCTTCTTCAGGAAGAAAACTGGAAAAAATAATTAAAACAAGGTGGCAATTTTGTAACTATAATGAAAACATATCAACTGAAAAGCAAACCAAATTCACACTAAAATTCTTCCCACGAGGAAAGTATTCTAAAGTTGATCACTTGTCCACCAGAGATCCAACCTAATTCACATAAGAAAACCTGTGTATTATGTTGCAAGACTTGTCCATGGTCACTATAAAGTATGCCATGTGCTGGTGCTTCTTTGAAATATTTATATTATGATTGTTATTTAATTGTTCTTGTAACGAACAATTCAGGTAAACTTGTACATGTTTGGTTTTTAGATACTGAATTTTGAAATGTAGTTCTGAGAGTTGCTTAAAATTGCAGAATCCTTGGGACGAGATCAAATTCTCAGGCAATGCACGTATTCATTTGGATTCCTTCTTGTCAATCTTCAATATATCTGGCCTTCCAGAAGAGTATTACCATAACAGTATGGACAATATGAATTTGCTTTCTGGAATCTGTTTTATTATCCTTTTGTCTATATTCAAATTGCCATTATTTAGGATATCAATATGAAATTTATGGCAGACTGTCTATCAAATCCCGGAGATACGTTTGTTGATGGAGCTGTTATAGCTGCAGCACGAACATTGCCAACTTGGTCAGACAGGGATGTGCCACCTATCCCTAGCGTTGAAAGAAAGGCCACAAAGGAGCTGCAAGATGAATGCCGTAAAATGCTTGCCGGATTCGCTACAACCTCTAAGCAAGACCAAAAGTTGCTAGGTAAATTTTACGTTCGTATCCTTACACTAGATTAGAAAGTAGAAACACAGAACTACTGGTCATAATTTTTATTTTGCAATATTATTGCTTTGTTAGAATATACATCCTGAAAATGGTATAGCGCGTTCATTCTTTTGTTTTAACTCAAGTCTGTAAACCTTTTATATCAGTAATACACATTTGTGGGCTAGTGTTACTGTATCACGGAAGGGTCCTCCCTACTAATATCTGGCCCTTAAAATGTTTTGGGAGATATTCTTGTTGACCTGGAGTCGGTGTGTTGTCACCAAAACAAGTTACATTCTGACTTGAGGCTCCAAGTCTGCATGATTATAATTATGAGTTTACTTGGATAAGCTTCTTTAATAGCACTTACAGGAGAGAAAAATAGGAAGAAAAACTAAAATAAGTCTCCCTGTAAGTTAAAACTAACTTGTAAAATAAGATTTTAGAGAAACTAGTAAGAGATAACTTCTACAAATTAGTTTATGTATAAGTTAATTTTAACTTATTTAGAAGCTTATGTTATTTTTTCTTTCTATTTTTCTTTCCTAGAAGTTTTTCTGAAAAAGTTTACCTAAACAAACCCTATATCTGCCAAATAAGGTTTATCATCAACTCTACTTTTGTAGGAATGCATCTTGAATCAGTTTAAAGAAATCAAATGAGCAAAGGCTCAATCACTTGTGTAGTGAAGCTCTTCAAAGTTAAAAGTACACTTAAGGTTTATTCAGGTGATCCATCCTCAAGGATGGACTCAACCTTATAAAACTAAGATCAAAATTTACCAAAACTACCAGGATTGTGACTATTTTGGCTCTTATTGACTTATAGATTTTATGATAAAAGCTAATGGTTAGCTTACACATCATGACCGCAGATTCCATGACAGATGCTACCAGGACACTTGAAACTGCAATAAAGTATGTCAAATTTACATTATCTACCAGTTCAAAAGTTTTCTAAATTTTATTTTCAGGGACATTTTAAACCCTCTAATTACAATTTCACTGTGATTGCTACATGCACAGGTATAGATTGCATAGGAAATTGTTCATGGATAAAGTTATCCAAGCATTGGAGATTTATCAAGAGCAAATACTGTTCTGATCCAATCTACATACTGGAGATTAGTCACGAAAATTTTGTAACGCTGCTATTTACCTGTAATCATGTATCACCGAAAACAAATGCTCATTATCTATGAAATGCAGGTTCTTCATTTTGTCATGCTTTACATTTTTTTTTTTGCCGATCCTTGATGAAGTTCTAAGCAAGTTAAAAAAGAAAGTAGTGTAAAAGCATAGTTATATACAAAGTTGTCAAAATCAAAAGTTTATGTAAATTCATTAAGGTTCTGTAAACTCAAAATTGTGAAGAGTTTACTTAATATAAGAAATATATTAAAATACCTATAAGTAATATAATAATTCAATATTTTAACTCCATATTAAAATAAAGTAGAAAATTACAATAATAGAGCAAGAAAGTTTAGTAGCAAATCATGTATAATTTCATACAAGATACAAGTCATGAAAACCTTTAAGAATTCAATACATCTGTAAAATCGAGTATCCCAAACCCAAATTATGAGAATTGTGGAAACACGATGCCACAATGGGAATGACCTTGGAATCCAGCCAATGAGCATGTGACCTTGACGCTGGCCAGAGAATAGGGGATGTCAACCATAGAATAGGGATCTCAACGAACAAGCTCCGACGAACAGAACTAGTGGTATGCCAATGCACTAGAAGCACTATGTTTTGGGTTCAGTAGTTGAGACTTGAGACCATGTGAGAAATAGTCAAATTGCAGGAAGAAGAAAAAAATAATTCGAAATGCTAGTTCTGATGTCATTTTGGGTTTTTTTTTTTAAGTGACTTGTGTACATACGTTCAATTACGGCAGACTCGCGATTTTGTCTGAGTTTGGATAAGTTCGCTCAAGTTTAATTGAAAACGAGTTAAGTAGGTTAGAGTGTACAAATTCTTAAACTTGAAAGTTTTTACGAGTTAAAACTTGATTTTGACAATCATAATTATATAATCTAAACCGAAAATCAAATCGATCAAAGGATTGAGTTGTCAATTAAGTTGTCTGATCATGAGTTAGACAATTCAATCGGAAAAAACAACATAAACTCATTTCCCTTCCATGAAAGCAAAAGTATAAATACCTAAATTTCATACAAAAGAAATGACAAAGTTTTCAAAGGCACATAACAAGAAAAATTTAGAATCATGTGGAAGTATACATACCTACCCAATATGGTTTCTGTTTCAGCAGACGAACGGTTTCGGGGGAGTACAAGAAGATTACTAGTGTGCCCTTCAGACAGGTACAATTTCCTTTTTTGTGTGCCTCCTTTCCGAAATTTCAAATAATCTCCTATTTGGGTTAAGGAAAGAAATCTTTCTAAATTGGAAGAAGTCTGAGAAGATGTAGACTTTGCCTTCTGTTGAAAGGATGACGAGAGTTCAAAGTCTAGTAGGCCTCCTTAATATAAGGGCACACGAATCTTGTACTTAAGAATGTTCTCCTTTCTCAAAAATCTTTACGTACTATGTGCCTTCCATTTTCTAATGAATGGATATGCTAAACTAAAAGATGCATGATATTTGTTTTTGCCTAAATTTTATCATTTTTTTGTTACTAAAAGGGAATGATGCATGATTTTTGCTATACTTTTTTTTCTTGTTTTTTTTTTGAAATAAACTACCCTATATGATGCTTT